AGAAAGCACCACAGAGCTGGTGCTGGGGGGGGAACTGACTTTTACACTGACTCTCCCCAGCACCAGCTCCTGACCCCACGCCCTTGCTGCCTCCTATAGAGGTGGGGGGGGCAAGTAGTCAATACTCCAGTCAACGATCCAATAAGCTTACTCGTCGACTACTTGCTAACATCCCTACCCAGACCCTCTATAGAAAAGTGCAGCCTTTGACCACTTACCAAAATCTTGGAGTGCCCCTCTCATCAAAAATGATTGCCCACCCCTGTGTGAGCGTTAGGGGGCACAGCCTGTCATTTCACTCCGTGGCTGCATCTAGACTGGCAAGTTTTTCTGTAAAAGCAGCTGCTTTTGTGGAAAAACTTGCCAGCTGTCTACACTGGCCGCTTGAATTTGCACAAGAACATTGATGATCTAATGTAAGATTGTCAGTGTTCTTCCTCAAATACTATACTGCTCCCGTTCGGGAAAAAGCCCTCTTACCGCAAATGTATTTGCGCAAGAGGGCCAGTGTAGACAGCTAAAAACTGTTTTGCGCAAAAAAGCCCCGATGGCGAAAATGGCGATCGGGGCTTTCTTGTGCAGAACCACGTCTAGATTGACACGGACGCTTTTCCACAAAAAGTGCTTTTGTTTTCCGCAAATGCTTTTAACGGAAAAACTTTTCCGTTAAAAGCATTTGCGGAAAATCATGCCAGTCTAGACGTAGCCCGTGTGTATAGCGCTCAGCACTATGGGCCTCTCAGGTGCAGCTAGATTACAAAACAGGCCTCATAGGAAATGCAGCAGGCAGGGCAATAGGCTTGGGTATGACAGTGACTCTCTCTGGGCCAATCTAGGCGGAGCCTGTTAAGGGATCACAGGCAGCAATGGGCTGGGCAGGACGCTGCCCCCAATGGATCAGTGCCAATGACAGACAGGGGAATGCTACTGGATGGGTCACTGTGTGAACCCCCGGACCAGTACCGCAGACAGCGAGTGGGCTCCTGCTGGGTCAGACAAAACCACCCAGCTGTCAGTCTCACAACAAGGCAGGGTGACTCCACCAAAGCCAACCACACGTGCCCCTGCCCTCCCCAGCCTTTCTGTGGCCTGAACCCAAGAGGAGCCAGGGCAACCCCCTGGCTGGACAGAGCCGCGCCCCCAGCTCCGGACAGGGCGCAGGGGCAGGAATCCGACTGGGTCCCACAGAGCAACCTCCCGTGGAGCGGGGCAGAGCCGGACCCCACCGGGCCACAGAACCACCCCCCCCCCT